GAATCCAAACTTCACAGGACAAATCCCTTTAATAAAAGGATTTGTTCTGTAAAACTTGGACTCAGGCAAAAGGCTGCACCCGAGGACCTAGAAGGCCACATGTGGCCTCCAGGCTGCAGGTTCCCCACCCATGGAATTCCCTTTTCCTAGAATGTCCTCTCCCCACCCCCATCATTCAGGACCAGGGTCAAATGCCAGCTCTTAAGTCTTTCCTAATTCCCCTCATTTCCTCCAACCCCCAGGTGAAGTGATCTCTCCCCTACATGATCTCAGAGCACATTATACTCCTCTTAAGTACTTATATTTTAATTTATATTACATTTCTCAGTTTGCAGGTATTAGCTCCTTAAGGGCAAGAATCATGACTTATTTATCCTATTCCTCCTAGTGCTCATTACATACTGGTTAGTGGACCAAAAACTAAATGCAAAACTAACACAACCTTAAACTGTTTTGGAGACTGTCTAGTATAGTGGAAATGATAGGATGCTTGGGTGCCTTGCTTGGACCCCAATTTCTCCTTGGCTTCAGAAACACTATCCCTGGCAGTTTCCCCCAGCCCAAGGACACTGCGCCTAGCAATTACTCATGAGTGGGCCTCAGCAAAACACTTACCTCTCTCCCTGGTGCAGTTACAAAAGCTGGGTGAGAGAATGCTGGGCTGCTCCCAGCCCTAAGATCATGTCTCTGGAAGCCTCCTAATTCCTTAGTAAGCTCCTGTCTTGTGAAAAAACTTTCCCTCGTTGCAGAGCATTCTCTAATCAGGACAGAGAGAGAGGGGTGTGTTGTCTGGTCCAAGGAGTTTTGTCCCTGGCTGGCCCAGGGACTCATTTCCTCCCACCAGATTCCCAAGATCCTCTGACATCCCCCTCCCTGTCTGGCATACTCCCTACACTTTCCCATCCATAGCTCCCAAAGACACCTGGACCTTTAGATTACCTAATCAGTATCCCTGGCATTTCTTTCCTTCGTCCTTTTCCAAATAAACCCTAACTCCACCCTCTGTCTCTTGCAGGTTCCTTAAGAATCCTTGCCCGCTGAAAAGTGTAACAATAAATCTTGGCCAACTTGACTCAAAGAATGCTTGAGTCTGTGAATTCATTTCAGACCACCCTGTCCTGTCCTTTGGTCTTTGAGGGGTCTTAACCTCTCAGACTGCAACAGAAAGAGAATTTGACTTGAAACTAGAAGACCTGGGTTCTAATTCTAATTGCCATCAAGTACCTCTGTGGCCTTGAGCAGATCACTTAAATTCTATGGCCACAATCCCTTACCTGAAAAATGAGGGGTTTAGACTAGACAGAGGTTCTTAGCCCAGGTCCATCAACTTTAAAAAAATATATTTTGATAACTATATTTCAAATATAGTTCATATTTATTGTATGCATTTTAAAAACATTAGATTTCACCAGGATTTCATGACATAAAAAAGGTTAAGACTTCCTGGGCTATCAGATGAATCTCATCTGAAAAATGAGGGGGTTGGATTTGATGGCCTTTAAGGTCTCTTCCAGTTCTAAATTTAAAATCCTAACATCACCAAGTACTTTTAAACTTTTTTAAATGTTTCTAGTTCTAAGCTTTCCTGTTCAATTAGTTCACATAAGCTACATAAATATTTGTAAATACTCATCATAAAGAACAAAAACTTGGAAAGCCATTTTCCAACACAAAATCTATGTTTAAAAGAAAAAATAAAATAACATTCACCAAAAAGTCCCATGTGATGAAATTACTCTGCAAATGGAATTTAAGTCTTCTTTTAAAGACCTGAGGGAACCCATTAGATGAAACAATAAAAAAGCAAAACAAGTCTCTCCACAATCACCACCTTTGGAGGAACTTTCTATATTTGGCCAATGAATAAATAAACTCTTTACTCTATGTGCATCTGCATTTATGTTTTCTGCCTTGTGTTCTCACAGGGTCAAATCATGACCTCCTGAGGGAGACAGAGATGTACAGCAGAAAGAAATTGCTATTCAAACACACTCCTTTTTCATGGAAACTAGCAGAATTACACAAATTTTTGTTTCAACCTCAGCAATATTCTGCAAAAATCTGAGAACAGAAGTTAAAATAGGAAACCAGTCTTCTTCCATTTAAGCATAACTAGCTTCTCTATAAGGAATGCAGGCACACTTCCCTGACTGCCCTGACAATCTAAAATCCGTGTCAAGTGTCTCCACATCAGCACACAAACAAAAATACAGACACACTGCCCCCAAAGACAAAGACACATCTCCAGACAGAGTCACACAGACAGACGCGCATAGTTACAGAGACACAGATGAAGAGACAGACACAGAGAATCAGAGGCAAAGAAGCTCAGAGAATCAGAAACATGTTGGCAGACAGAGACAGACGCACAGAAATATGAAGAGACAGAGACACAGATAGATGCAGAGACAGGCATAGACTGAGATGCAGATGCACAAAGACAGAGACAGACATACAAAGATAAGCACAGAGACACAAACACGGAGAATCAGAGACAGATGGAGGGGCACAGAAAGACACAAAGACAACCAGAGACAGACTAAGAGTTACAGACAGGAACACAGAGATAGGCATAGAGAGAGGCACAAACAGACACACTGAGAGACACAGTCAAAAAAAAACCAAACACCCAGGGACAGACGAAGACTGAGCTCGGGGCGTAAGAAGCAGACACAGAAACACAGACACACACAGAGGTAAAGCTAGCTAGCCAAGCCCAGACAGAGGCACAGAGACACAGAGGCAAAGCGAGATACACAGAGACAAACTCAGACCGAGCTACGGACATACAAGGATGACAGGCAGAGATTGACAGACATACCAAGAAAGACACAGAGACCCTGAAACTCAAGGAGATAGGGAGGCACAGAGGCAGAAACAAAGACAGAGGTAGAGAGAGGCACAGAGAGACAGAAACAGGGGCAGAGACACAGATACAGGGACAGACAAAGGGAGACAAGAGTCACAGAGAGCGATACAGAGACACACAGAGACAGGCACAGAGAGCACGGAGAGACACAAGAGACAACCCAAGCACACGGAGACAGAGACACAGAGACAGAGACACAGAGACAACCCAAGCACACGGAGACAGACAGACAGACAGACGCTCACACAGAAGGCGGGGTCAGGGGTCCTGGCCGGGCACCGCTGGGTCCAGCGCTCCCCCACCTCGGCCCCCTCCCCATTCTCCCAGTGGCGGGGGGAGGGGCGCAGCTTTTCCCGGCTCCCCCTTCCTCCTCCCCCCGGCCTCGCGGACCCCTTCCCAGAAGCCCCCGCGGTGGCAGCCTCACCTCAGCGCTGTCCCGCCAGCTAGCGCTGGGCCCGCAGCATCGCGCCCCCGCCCCGGCACAGGGAGCCAGGGCCGCCCGGCCGCTCCCCGCGCGCTCCTCCGGCGCCCGCGGGGGGGAGCTCCTCCCTCCTTGGGCTCGGCTCCTCCTCCTCCCCCCTCCCTCTCCCAAGCCTTCGAAAGCTCGTTGCCAGGGGGCTCGCCGCGGTTTGGGAGGTGTCACGTGACGGAGCCGCTGCGGGGGATGCTGGGATCCGGCTGGAAATCCATCTAAAGGGGGGGGGATTCCACTTAAAGTTGGGGTTCGTTGGATTTCTAGAGCTGGAAGGGACCACCTCAGAGGCCATCCAGCCCAAACCACTCATTTCTACAGATGAAGAAACTGAAGCCAGGGGCAGTGAAGTGGCCAGCCTAGGGTCACCTAGGCAGGACTTGAACCCAAGTCCTCTTAATGCTGCTGGACAAGTCCCAGAGAGAATACTTCCCTTAATGCCGAATTTTTACCGTAAAGCCACAGAATGAGAAAATCCAATAAGGGCAGAATATCTAGAGTCCATCGTGATGCCATTTCTCATAATCAGCCATATCAATGATTTGGTATCAATTCAGATGTTCCACTGAGCTTTCCCTTCAACGTCTCATTGCTAAGGGGAGGTGACTCTAGAACCAGCCCAGTGAAATTGAAACAGCCTGCCTCATCACGAGGGTTGGTATTTTATCACATTTGTGCAAGTTTCCTGCTCCCCTTTTAATGTGCCTAAGCACCTATGAAATATGGAACTGGCCCGGAACATACTTGTTCTGTGGAGGTGTCAATCAGGGGAATCTTGATCCAATGCATCCTTTCCCCTCCCCCCTCCCATAAAATGGATTCGGTGAGGATCAGATATCATCAGATATTATCAGGGTAAGGTGTTAGATTTTTGAGTGGCTTATTTGTATATGAAAAGTTCTGGAAATTCAGCTGAAATTTGGCCCAGAACTATAAGTAGGTATTTTCACCACCCATTCATTTATATGAGCAAGTGGTAAAGATGGAGAATTTCATTAAAAAAGATGGACCCTAACCAGATAGAGTATATAGCAAGTGGATAGAGAAGCAAGCAGTGGAGATAGAGTGCTTAATCTGGAGTCAGGAAGACCTGAGTTCAAATTTTGCCGCAGACTCTGTGTGACCCAAGGCAAGTCACTTAATCTTTGTCTACCTTAGTTTCCTCATCAGTAAAAATTTGGAGATAATAATAGCACCTACTTCACAGGGTCATTGTGAGACTCAAATGAAATAACAAGTAAGGTACTTTGCAAACCCTAAAGCACTGTATGAATGCTAGCTACCACTACTTCTACAGGGGTAGCTAGGTGTCCCAGTGGATAGAGTGCCAGGCCTAGAGTTAGGAAGACCTCAGTTCAAATCTGGCTAGCTGTGGGACACTGGGCAGATCATTTAACCTTGTTTGCTTCAGTTTCCTCATCTGTAAAATGACCTGGAGAAGGAAATGGCAAAGTACTCTAGTATCTTTGCTAAGAAAATCCCAAATAGGGTCACTAAGAGTTGGACACAGCTAACCCACCACCACCACCACCACTACTGCTACTTTTTTTTCTCTTGTATCTCTTGGAAGGTGCTGCAAGGGGAAGAGGGGGAGAAGGGATTTCTCCTTCTTACCCCTATCAGCCCTTACATCCAGTAGAACACAGTCCCATCTGTGAAGCTGAATTGGCAAAAGAAGTGGAAATTCTCTTGCCAGGAGATGGGATCCTGCTTAGGATATGAGAATCCCCTGTGGAAAAGTTTCTCCTGGTCTTAGGGTGTGGGTTCCCTTTCTTTCTGAAAGTGCTTAGTAGTCTTACATCCTTATGGCCTTAGAATGTAGTCAGAATGTCAACTGAGCCAAAAGCTAGAGACCATGGTGAGTGTAGCCAAGCAGTTAAGCAACGTCTGACGAAGCAACACCCAGCGGGGTCCAGTGGAACAGCATCCAGGTATGACTATAATACTAAAATCTGGGAAATAGCATGAGGGGTCCCAGCAACTATACAGCAAAGGAGGCGTGAATTGCTGTATCTCACATGGGCCTTGGCTACATGTGTTCTCTATGTTATGAAGATTACATTTTGTTTCTCGCTATTCCATTTAATAATAATAATGACTAGGATTGACATAGCTCTTTAAATGCCTTTCAAAGTGCTCTACAAATATCAGTAAATGCCTTTGCCTTGAGATAGGTGTGTCCTATGACTATTACAGGGCCACGCATTGGTAGGAGCTCTTCAGCTATAATTTTAGTAACATAAATCCACAGTACTTTGAACCAGGGGTAGTCATCCCCCAGCAATATAATCCTACCTCTGATATTTACTCAATTTGTGACCATTGGCAAAGCTCTTAGGCCCTTTCTATGTCTCAGTTTCCTCATTTGTAAAGTGGAGATAATGATATTTGTGATACCTATCTCATAGGATTGTTGGGAGAAAAATATTTAATAAACAGTAACTCTGTGTGTGAGAGAGAATTATAATCTAGTACTTAAAGAGATTTGTGATCCGATCACGATTGGCATTTTCCCCACTGACGGATGGCAACCCTTCCATACCTTAGTAATGGGCTTCAGGAATTGCTATGGCCAAAAAAAAATTTAAACTTGTGGCTAATTTTTTTTGCTGAAGAGCCTCTCTGGAACTTAGCTAACTGGTCCTTAACTGATTGACATGTCATCCTTCACTGAGTTGATAACGTGAAGCCTTTACAGTTTAGGGAGAGCCAGAGCCCATGTGCCCCACTGGCACAGCCCTTGAGAACAGAGGCCCCACTTAACATATCTTTCAATGATGAAATCAGGAGGATCAATTAGATTTTGATCATGTCAGCATGAAGGTTAATTTTAACTGGAACATTTTAATGGTTAACCCACCACAATTTGTCTTAGCTGTAGCAGCTGCAGAAGATCCAGAAAAGAAAGTTTCTTGCCACCAAGTTTCTTGGCACTGTTAAATGGTTTAATATCAGAAAATGTTGATTTTTAAAAGTGGAAATATTCATAGATTTTATCAGTGGAAGTAACAGTACAGATGAAGCATTAGCATCTGCTTGACTGCTACACTCTAAGGACCATGAAACTTTTCTATCTGACTTGCAGCAGATACTTTCCAGGAATGTGAGCTTCTTGAGAGCAGAGACTGCTATGCCCTTTTATTGAGGGGATTGTTCTGTGAAGTTTGGATTCAGTCAAAGGGCTGTACTTGAGGACCTAGAGGGCCACATGTGGCCTCAAGGCCACAGGTTCCCCACCCTGACTATAGCTATTTATAAACGTTTACATACATGTATATACTTCAGAGCAGACAATACTGATCCATTTATATGTCTCATAATGAGGATGAAGACCACTTACAAAATTCTAAGAAGCAAAACTATATTCTTATGTACATAATTAGAAAGGACATAGAATTACAGAGACCAGACGTTATGGAAAGACCTTGAGCAGGTCAGTTTTGTTAGCTCTGTCACTGGAACTGCACTAGAAGCCTTCTCCAGCATGTCATATAACCTGTCAGATCACGTCCTTTGACAGTGTAGTAAAGGAGAACCCAGGGCCACCTCCATGCTAGAATGAGGCACAGTAATAGAATTTTTGTGGCCATTAGTTGCCTTAGTTATAATAAAAACATTTACCCTCTTGACCTCAATTAGCTCAAGAGTAAAATGAGAAGACTACACCAGATGGCTTTTAAGCACTTTTCCAGCTCGAAATCTTTGATCCTATAATCCCAGATTCACCAGAGAACCAGTTTTCACTAGAGAACCAGATTATAGTTGCTTTAATTACATCACCCACATTGTCTCATTGTTATCATCGCCTTTTACATTGCTGTTGTTGCTTGTATTTTATTCTTTGATCCATTCATTATTCAGGAGGTCATCACCTAGTTGTTGTTTAGATTCGTAGATTTTGCTCTTATTCCTTGTATGAATCACTATTTTATTGAATAATTCTATTGAACAGCTAGATCTGTAAGGGATGTCATCTTTCTGCCTTTTTAACATTTATTTATAATTTCTTGATGTCTTAGCACACTCTATTTATATAATAGACCATGTTGTACCAAGAAATGTCATACTAAGTGAGAAAGGCTGTTGTTTGCTCTTTCTGTCCTTTGTAGGTGGATGGTGATACAGTAACAAGTTCAGGTAGGGGAAAGACTACAACTGCAGCAAAGTGATACAGTAAACAGAACACTGGCCTGGAGTCAGAAAGACCTGAGTTCAAATCCAGCCTCAGATACTTACCAGCTATATGACCCTGAGCAAGTCACTCAGCCTCTGTTTGACTCAATTCCTTAACCATAAAATGGGGATTAAAAATAGCACCAGCCTCCTAGTGTTGTTGTGAGGATAAAATGAGATATTTGTAAAATGCTTTGCCAACTTTCAAGTGCTGTCTGTTGTTGTTCAGTTGTGTCCATCTCTTTATAACCCCATTTGAGATTTTCTTGCAAAGATACTGAAATGGTTTCCCATTTTCTTCTCCAGCTCATTTTAAAAATGAGGAAACTGAGGCAAATAGGGTTAAAATTATTTTCCCAGGTTCACACAGCTAGTATCTCAGGCCAGATTTGAACTCAGGAAAATGAGTCTTCCTGACTCCAGGCCTGCTCTATCCACTGCACTACCTAGCTGCCAGTGCTATATAAAAGCTAGCTATTATTCTTATAGACCCAGAGGAATGGCCACAGTGATGTGGAAGGGTCAATCCTGCTGTAAGAAGGCCCCTTCTGACTCCACTTACAATTCATGCAGCTGTTTCCCAATCCTACGCCAAGCTTTCTGTCAAAACAGGTTAAGAAGCAGTGAGGACAGGAATTGTTTTTGCTTTTGCTTTTTGTAACCCCAGCTTAATATAGTATATGGCACATAGTAAATGCTTAATAAATGCTTATTGATTGATTGATTGATCCATGGTGCTGGTAGTACTATTATCAAACCTTACACTCAAACCTTCCCAGAGGTTAATATGGGAGAGTCTCAAAGAGGTGCTGACAAATCAGAGATGTAGCCTCAGATACCTCAGTAAGGCCTTATTATTGCAGCCTCACTTAATGCCAGAAGATTGATGACACACAATGGGAAGATATCAATCAAATGGAATGAAAAAGCATTTATTCAGTGCTTACTACATGTATATGCTAAGTGCTAGGAATCCAAATAAAAAACTGAGACAGCCTTTACTCTCACAATCACATTCTAATAGGGCAAACAGCACATAAAGGAGGTTCAGTTTTAAGCCAGAAAGACCAAGTGCCTATAGTTGCAGCTTACAGATCACCTAGAGAGGGAAAACATGGCTCCCCTCCAAACTCCAAGGCAAAATTAGTGATGAAAACCAGAGGAGTCAAACATGCTACCAAACCAGATTAAAAGATAATTGCAAATATTTGGCAAAATAAAAAAAAATGCAATAGCATGTAGATCATGTTAATATGTGTATTTCTAGGTCAATATATGACCTGAAGGGATCCTTATGTTTGGTTTTGTGGCTACCATTTCTATTTGACTTTGACACCACCAATGAAGACAGATAATTCTTGACAAATGTAATAAAATAATTAGCTGGCTGCATAAGAACCAGACAACAGAGAAGGAAGAATTTGGACATCAGTATAAAGAAATGGAGACAGTATGCAATTCCAACATTACTATGCTGTACCAGAGTGCAGGGGCATGACTACAGCATACCTAGTGGATTCCTTGGTGGTAGAACAGACTTATCCAAAAGTGCTTCTTCTAGACCCAATATTGAAGAAATGGACTAAGTGCACCAGAAGAGAGAGATGTCACACAAGTCTTCAAAAGTTGAACAACTCTCAGAGCCAAGATAGCGGAGTAAAAACAATAACTTGCTTGAGCTCTCCCCCAAACCCCTCCAAATACCTGTAAAAAATGGCTTTAAACAAATTCTAAAGCAGCAGAACCCACAAAAAGACAGAGTAAAACAAATTTGTAGCTCAAGACAACCTGGATGGTTGAAGGGAAAGGTCTATCACGCCAGGCTGGAATAGGAACACAGTTTGGTGTGGGCAGGCAGGCCTCAGCGAACCTGGAGCAGGCCTCAGAGGACTGAATCAAGGGCAGACTTCTCAACTTCTCAACCCACAAATGCCAAAGACAACTTAAAAGGTCAGTAGGAAAAGTCTGTGTCTGCTTTGAGAAAGAAGTGTGAGGTCCCAGCCCCAGTCCTCTAGTGTGGCCCCGAGGTGGCGGTGCCTCCAGAGCTTCTGGCCCACAGACTGAGGGGGAATCGAGTGGCTGATCAGAGGGGGTTTGCAGGGATCTCATTGCTGGTGCAGGATTCTCTTGCTTTGCTCACGCTTGGATCTGGGCCAAAGTTCTGGGTGGTGGTCCTGGGGTGAGGAGGAGTGCTGGCATGGTGGAGCTTGTTGTGGCTGTGCAGAGAAAATCCTCTTCATAGTTCCAAGGCAGAAAAGAGTGCTTGTGGTTACTCATAGACCAAAGCACAGGCCAGAAAAGGAGTAAACACCTCACCCCTTATCATACCACCTTGGAAAAACTGAAAATTTACAGGTTCCTAGAAGTATCTCTGAAAACGGCTGCACAAACCCCCTGATGCTTGGGACAGTACATTCTCCATACTGGAAGCAGACCCCTACCTTAACAAAGAGTTTATAACTCAAGTAATTGGCTGGGATCAAGAGCAAACTTTGCAAAAAAATGTCAGACCATAGAATCCTTCTTTGGTGACAAAGAAGATCAAAACATACAACTAGGAGAAGACGACAAAGTCAAAGCTCCTACATCCAAAGTCTCCAAGAAAAATATGAATTGGTTCCAGGCCATGGAAGAGCTCAAAAGGATTTTGAGAAGCAAGTAAGAGGAAAAACTGGGAAGAGAAGTGAGAGTGATGCAAAAAAATCATGAAAAAGAAGTCAACAGCTTGCTAAAGGAGACCCAAAAAAATACTGAAGAA